GAGACCGAGGGAGTGATAGAAAAATAGGCCAGGAAACTTGTGAAAACACAGTTGCACATTTTGCTCAGTCATCTCTAGAGTCTCCGACTGTTTCACAGTGTACAGAAAAACAAAGATTTACGTCATGCACACAAGACCCTTGGTAGGTTCAGTGAATAACAAGGCAAGAAAATGGCTCCAACTCCTGTTATATTAATCTGGTTATTGACGCCTGTGAAGTGGTGCAAAGGTAGTCTGGCCAGGTAATTTTCAACCATGTCATGTTAACTGCTACTTAAGTGCAGGTTTTCATTTCTGCCAAACATTATGCCAGGTGATTTTTTTTTTTTTTCTTCTTCTTCTTCTTCCTGAGCAGCTGCACCTCTCCCTCAGCTGGTGTGGAGCTTGGATTGAATGAAAGCATGCATATCGTTTGTTTTTTAGGCCACTGGTTTGGTAGATGCGCCTCAGCCCCAGTTGGAACAGAGTGACACCGCAGCTGCTCGGCTCAGGCAGGCCCATGGCCCGAGCCAGGCTGTTTGTTAGTGTGGCCGCGGTCAGCTGGAGAGGCAGGCTATCAGCTTCAGGTGATGCCATCTGCTTCAGGAATATGCCAGGACAAAGAGATGTTGGCCTGGTGCATGTTTGTAAAGAAAACCAGAGTTCAGTGGTACATGAAACAGCACCTGAGTGTGTGTGTGTGTGTGTGTGTTTATAACCTGCTTTATCTACTGTGTGAACCCACAAGCTGCAGTTGTTCCTGCAGCTTGTGGGTTCACACAGCACGGAGTCCTGTGTGTCAGCTCAGCAGATGGTATCATTTATCCATGTTTGACCACAGCATCGTCTTGCCTTTCTTCAGTCATCACCTTGTGAATATATTCACATTTAAGTCCTTGTCCTCACATGACCTTGTATCGACACAGCTCATAAGATGTCTTGTGTTGTGGGTTTGTGTGGGTGCATTGGCATTGTTGACAATGTAATCAGTTAGCTGCTATCTTTTCATGTTAAGTACCCTGTAATCCCACTGTGCTAGACTAGTCATTTTAATTTGATTCTCTAGAGGTCTGTGCTTGTAGTTGTATGCAGATTTATTTTCTGTTGATTAAATAATAAAATAAAAGATTAGTCATTTCATGTCTGACCAGTACCTGAAACAGCAGCTGATGTCATGTACTGCTTATTGTTATTGAGTTTTAGTTTCACCTGAGAGCTGAAATGGGAAACTGGGGTTCTCTTGTTTACTGCTTCAGTTTGACTCACAGATGCTTGGAACACTTCAGACTGCAGTGGTGAAAGGTTGTTTATGGGACGGTCTGAAGGAGAGATGTTAATATTGCCTTCCTACCTGCCGGACATCATTAATCAAAGCTAGGAGTGCTGAAGATGTGAGAGTGTGATTTTACACATCTGTCATTGTGTGTGTGTGTGTGTGTGTCCAAGGAGACATGTGTTTGCCCCTGGTGTACCTTTAAGATGATAATTCATCATGGTTCAAATGTTAGGACAGTTTATGAAGGCTTCAGCGTGAGATGTATTTAAGTGTTTATTTTGTGTCTCTGCTCTCACTGCTGAAAAGAACATGCTGTCTCCTGTTGCTGCTCAGAAAACATTAAATTGCCGTCTGTACCAGCGTTTGTGTGACCGTGTGGAGCGGGGTTAAGGGTGATGAGCCATAACAAGGATCCTGCTGTATGTTATTGAGAAACTGACTGATTACAGTTGTTGTATTGTTGACGCTCTGTCATTCTGCAGGTGGCCATTAAGATCATCGACAAGACCCAACTGGATGCAGTCAACCTGGAGAAGATCTACAGAGAAGTTCAGATCATGAAGATGCTCGACCACCCCCACATCATCAAGCTCTACCAGGTGAGTCTCTAACTTCACTGCGTCTTGTACGACAAATAGTAGATCAATATCTTTCTTACCCAACAAACTGTCTCAATCAAAACATTTATTTCTGTCTTGGAATTATTTTATTAAATTTTTTTTTTTTTTACCTATCCCATCACCATCCCTCGCTGTCTGTCGCTGTCTGTCACTGTCACTGTAGCAGTGATGGTGGAAGAATGCCACTGTTCTGTTGATCTTTTCTCCGGGTAGTATACCACACATAGTGATGTTTGTTAAACCGTGTCACAGGGTTTCCCACAGAATTAGATTCTGCTTGTGGCAGTATTGGGGTACCCCAGTGCTCGCTGCTGTCTTGCTGTCCATCTGATCTGTCACTGCTGCTCTACCTGGCTCTCCCGCAGCTAACCACACTGGTCAGATTGTTCAGGTTTTCCACGTTTTCTTAACTTTCTAATGTTAACTCTGATCCAGACTGTCTGCACCTCACTAGGACGATCAAGTTCCTTTGAGTCTAGGAAAACATTTTTCAATATTCTTCTGGGCTGAGTGAGCAAACATTTGGAGTCAGACATTAGCATTGCAACATTATCCACTTGCAGAGCGGTCGATATTGCCTAGCAGCTATAATGGCGGGCTAACATCAGCAACACAGCTGTAAGTTATTCTAACGTTAGCTTAGCTATTATTACTAGCTTGTTAATAATTTATTAGGAGAGTGGGATCTCCAACAATTGGCAGCTGATGTGTTAAGAACAGAGGAGGAGCAGTTCGCAAATGGTCTGTTGTCAGTGTGTGAGAAAGAGAGAGTAGGACATGGGGCGGCAAATCAAAGTACTGTGCGCAGCTCTACGATGAAATGAGGTTTTACCCAGTTTAAAACAGTGCATGGAACATTAGGAGCAAGGGGAAATCGTCCTCTAGTTGACTGTTCACAGATGTCGCTCTCTCGGACAGAAATTGTCTAATGCATTAGCAAACAACTGCTGCCGAGCAGAACCTGCCACCGCTGGATGGTTAAAGATAGAGTATAGTTACGACTGACTGGCACGCGTTCTCTGTATGAGCTCTGCGCTGTGTGAAGGTGCTGCTGATTCAAACTAAATAAGATTTTATACACAGTATGTTTTATTACTGTGCAGGGACATCAGATGTGACCTGTACTGCAGGGTCAGGCTTTATTTAGGCTGTTTTAAAATCAATATGACTCTTTCACAGCCACACTTTTTACCAACTTATTTCTAAAATGTGTGATTTTTGTCTAGAAATGATTAATTGCTTAGTAAAAAGCATAATTATTTAAGTGCTCCCTGACTTTATGGGACAAACATTTTATTTAACATGTGAAAACAGCGTATTTATTTGCACAGTGATCTAGCTAAAATTGACTAAAGTGATGTGCAGTTACCTAGAAAATATCTACTAAAAGTTTTAAAAATATGTAATAAACTTTAACCTTAAGGGTTCAATTTTGTGGCTGCCAGTATCTACCACAAGCTACATTACAGGACTGCCATTCGGTTTGTCTTTGCTCAGCATAGATGACAAAAGATGGAAGCAGAGCTGCAATAAAATGAGAGTTTCATTCTGACAAAGCAGAGCAAAAAGCGATGTGTTGATGTTTTGGTGGAAAGTGGCTTTGACACATACTGAGAATTGTTGTCTAAGGAGGAGGTCAGTTTCAGTACAGTATCAATTTGAAAATCAAGTACTGTAGCTTCAGAATTATCACAGACTGAGGAGTAGCTAGAAACCACATAATGATGCTGAATAAAGTAAAAAAAAAATTTTTTTTGTGCCTCTGCTAACATTAAACCGTTCTACTAGTTTATGCATTAGATCCTCTGGATGCACTGGACACAGTTCAGAGACAATTTCATAATTGGACAGTTAATAGTGAACTCTGGTCTTGTTCCTGTTCCCATAGACCTTTCACACAGAAGACATTTGGCGTGTCACCACAGGAATTGCACATGCATAAATAATCACATTAGAGATGGCTGCATTCCATTTAGCGGTTTCTCTTTCTGGGTGCTGGTCTGGTCTGGTGTGACGTAGTGTGTATGATTCGATTCAATCACGATACAATAAAAAATTCAACATCTAATTTCTTCTACTAAAAAAATTCATCATAGACCATTCTGAATACTGTAAGCTGCAAAGTTGTTTGTCAATTCTTAAAATACATTTTTAATTGCAATATTCTTTAATGCAGTAGAAAATTTGCTGTTCTTCTTTTAAGGTCAAGAAGCAGATAACCTTGGTGTGTTAGCTGTGCTACTAAAATGAAGCACAGTGTCACTATCACCCCCCCCAAGCATCTGTGGTCAGACACCTTGTCAAACAACTGTGCAGCTCACATACACTATCATCATACAGTTTATCCAGTCGTGCCGTGACCATTTTTCTTGATGGCTGTAGTCTCTGCATGTCTCTGCTGTTTGTATTTGGAGTTGTAGTAAAATGATATACTAGCCTCACTACTGCATTATTTCCAGATGCCGGTAAAAGAAAGGGAAAACAGTAGCTCTTTGTTTTAAAAGACAAAACCATAGTTGCATGAAATATTAATTTTTTTTTTAAATAAATGTAATGAGTATTTGAAAATTATTGCCCTTACTGTAAATGTCATTTGAAGGCAGGCTGTTACTGTTCAGCAGCTGCAGGCAGGTATTTTAAATTGAAGTGTTACGGTCCACTGTAGTGAGACCTGTAACACAAGTATTAATATCCTGTTAAACTTTGTTTATTATTCATTTGATACAGAAACTTGAGGCAGGATATTGGATTGATATCTGGCCTTGGGGCTGGGTTTTCACACCTCTGTCATTTTTTTTCTTTTTTTTTTGTCATAGACAAGAATGTGTTCACGTGTCACGAATATCGGCTGTAAATCTGGTTTTTAATGTCTGGTCACATTCATTTCTTTGTTTATGTATTCTGTGACAAGACAGTTTAATGCAGATTTTTTAGGCAACATTCTGCTGCTTGTATTGCAGCTTTTGTTTAGACATTTCATATTTAGAAAGTGAGTTTTATTTTCATAAATAAAGTACATTTTAGAAAAAACATTTTGTACTGGAAAAATATACTTTTCTTATACTACTGTGCAGAAGTGGGACTAAGGCCCACTCTCATTTCCTTTTTTTTTTTTAAACCCCTACCCCACATTTTTGAGTTAACCCTCAAAACGTAGTTACAAAGAGTAGTTGTTGAAATCTTACTTTATGATATGGGACCAGCCTTAAAGACCACTATGCATCATCTATAGATAGTGACAACAGTAAACAGACAGGACGAGTTTTCAGAAAGTTTGTATCACACAGTGCTGTCTTCAGCTGTGTTGATATCACTTGTGTGGTCTATGAGCATCAGTTTGTGATGTGTATATATTTTTTTTCAACAGTGAATAACAAAAATGGAAGGATAGGAATATTGGAGAAATGGGATTGGGCTTAGTCACACATGTGAAAGTCTCAAGTCTTATCCTTCATTCTCAACCAAGTCCCAACTTACTGTAGAGTTAATCAAGCAAATCAAGTTGAGTCCTTGCTACAAGTCAAGCAAGTCACAAGTCAAGTCATACAAAATTCTGACAATGGGAATTCTGATATGGGAATATCATGTATTTGAGTGAAATGTTCACAGACCTCCTTTGTACATTTGTAGGCTATAAACTAACCCTTAGATATTAAATAAAAGGGCATGCCTTTCAAGACTAAAGTTAGTCATGGCATTCCACTGATGCGAGGTCCAATTCTCTTCACTTTGTACATGGTCCCCTTAAGCAATATTATCAGGAAATAGCATAAATTCCCATTTCTATGCAGATGATACTTAGTTATATTTATCTATGAACCCAGATCATATCAGTGGGTCAAACCTCACGCAGATCGTAAAGATATAAAGGCCTGGATGACTTTTCTTACTTCTAAACTCCAACAAAACCAAATTTATTGTACTTGGGCCTGAAAACCTTTGAAATGTGCTATCTAACCATATAGTGAGTCTAGATGACATATTGGTCTCCAGTACTGTGTCTCTACAACTGCCCTCTTTCATCTGCGCAGTATCTCCAAAATCAGGAGCATCCTGTCCCAAAGTGATGCTGAAAAACTGGTCCATGCATGTGTTACTTCAGGCTGGACTACTGTAACTCTTTACTATCAGGATGTCCCAATAATTCCATAAAAAGCCACTTAATCCAAAATGCAGGTGACCCTGAGCCTTCCCCTAGTTATGCTGCTACAGGTCTAGACTACTGGGGGTCGCCCCATGATGCTTTGAGCTCCTCTCCTCTCTATCCATGCATCTATATACTACCATTACGCATTACTATCTGTGTCTCCTCTCTCCCTGTACCTTTCTGCAGGTAGCCCTGGCTCTGCAGCTGAATGTTTCTGATGAGCAGTCACCAGCCACATCAACCTGCCCAGTATTTGATTGCTTGTTGTTGTGTCTTGTTGCTTTTCTTTTACCCCCTTGAGCAATCACTTGGTGACAGCTGGGAGGAAAAACTCCCTTTAATGGAAGAAACCTCTGACAGACCCCGGCTCTTGGTGGGCGGCCTTCTGCCTCGACCAGTTGGGGTGAGTGGATAGAGGAGAGAGAAGAGAAAAGAAAAGCAACAAGACACAACAAAGAAAACAACAAGCAGACAGGCACTGGGCAGGCTGATGTGGCCGGTGACTGCTCATCAGAAACGTAGAGCTCCAGACCCAGGGCTACCTACAGAAAGGTACAGGGAGAGAGAAAGCAAAGCAAACCAACCCAAACCTATCCTAGAATGCATGTCAATAGTTTTTATTAATCCCCAATAATTTCAGAGGCACTACTACATGGGTACAAACAAAGGCCATCCTGTTGACATTTGCCAGATTAGGTGTTGCGTTGGCTCACAGTGCTACTTGTTTAGCTTGAACAGCACTGAGTGTGTATACCCAGGCATTTGTTACTTCCAGGCTGGACTACTGTAGCTCTTTACTATCAGGATGTCCCAATAATTCCCTAAAAAGCCTCCAGTTAATCCAAAATGCTGCAGCCAGAGTCCTGACAGGAACTAGCAAGAGAGATCATATCTCTCCCATATTAGCTTCTCTCCACTGGCTCCCTGTAAAATTCAGAATAGAATTTAAAATCCTTCTCCTAACATACAAAGCCCTTAATGACAAGGCTCCATCATATCTTAAAGACCTCGTAGAGCCTTATCATCCTAACAGAGCACTTCGCTCCCAGAGTGCAGGTTTAGTTGTGGTTCCAAGAGTCCACAGAAGCAGAATGGGAGGCAGAGCCTTTAGCTATCAAGCTCCTCTCCTATGGAACCAACTCCCAGTCTCAGTTCAGGAGGCGGACACCCTCTCTACCTTTAAGATTAGACCTAAGACGTTCCTTTTTGATAAAGTTTATAATTAGGGCTGGATCAGGTGACCCTGAGCCTTCCCTTAGTTATGCTGCTATAGGCCTAAGCTGCTGGGGGGC